GGGGAATAAGTTCAGTTCAGTTTTGTTTTTTTTTTTTTTTTAATATGAGTGTGTGTCAGGGCTTGGAGACTCCGTTCTCCTTATCCCAGCCTCTGACTGTTTTGTGTCAGGCCAATTGCCCTGACAAAGTGGGGTAGAAGGGGGTGTAATGGGGATTTCTGGGGGTGGGGGCTTCGAGTCACTGGTCTCGATATAGTGAGGGCAGTCAGGTCACTCGTCCTAACAAAGTGGGAGTCTTTCATCAACCAGATTGATCCCAACTTGGTCCAGTGATCGGTTCGGCTCTTCCGCTGGCGTGCGATGTTCTCTCAACCACCTGATGAGGTCCGGTCCACCTCGGTTCAGCTCTGTAGGTGCCTGTCCACCTCGGCTCCTTCCTCTTCCTTATGATGACATTCAGCAGGACCCACTCTGCTGTGTGGGACCTTCCAGATTCTTCTCTCTCCTTCTGTTTTGTCACCTGTGAATGAAAGCCTGACACCAAGGTTCTCAATTCTTCAAAATATGATATGTACCTGTATTCCTCCATGTCTTCTCCCAGGGTAAAAGCAGTTGCTGGACCCGGAGACTGCCTTCCTTTTACTCGCCACCTGTAATACAAAATCTGCAAACATCTTCTGCATCGTTGTCTAGGGGTCTGTCTTCAGATCTTCTTTAATTTTCCTGTCTACTTCTATCCTAGTTGGGCAACAGTGTGGTTCTCCATAGGTCATGTGATGTTCCCTGTGTTTAGTTCCTGTTTGGTGCTTGTAATGTTTTTACCAGCCTTTTCTGTAAACCTCATAACAATAGACTATCCTAAGCAAATAACCACATTCTAAACTCAGTCCAATTTCAGCCCTCTAAGGTATGTGACTGTATTTTCTATCTCTAACACTAAAGGGGTTTGTCAATATAAAATATTTCATTATTACTTCAGCACTGTAATGGCTTTATAGTAAAACAACATAAATCACATTCCATTCATACTTTCATCCCCTTTTTTCACGTTTACAAACCTGAACCTCAAAAAGGATATGTTAGATTTCCCCAGAGTCCTTACTCTGGATCTTCCTAGAAGAAACAAAGTTATTTTTCACAAGGAAACACAGCAATATGTGATTACCACATGCAGTGAAAATGAGTAATCAGAAGAGTTAAGGTTTCAAAGTTTAGTGGTGAATATTTGGCATAAGTGATGTTAATTTTTAGTTAAGATGATACATTTTATTCGTCTTACCTCCTCCTGTCTGTGGGAAAAAAATCAGTAAACGCATGCACAGAAAATATTTTTCATTGATCACCCTGACCTCAAAACTGCACAATACAGCATTAAACATTGAGTCTGCTGATAAGTAGAGCTGGAAAAATAAAAAAGGAAGTCAAAATCAGTTATTCCGCTCTGCCATAGCTCCTTCAGAGATCTGTTTATGTAAAACAAAAACAAAAAAGTTTCACAATACATGACTTTAGTAAAAATGTGGTTAAAACACTCTATACATGAAAACCCAATTAATTTCTTTCAGTCCAGTCAAGTCAAGTCAAATCAAATCAAATCAAATGTATTTAAGAACACAGATCTACCACATTTTCATTGACCTTTGACCCAATCTACTTCAATGGTCTGTGTTTTGGTTCTGCTGGGTCTAGGGGCATTCCCCTTAGCGAACCTTCCTGTACACATTCCAAAGGAAGAAAGAGAAAGACTTTCGTTATTAGGAGCATCGATTTGACCTGTTTTTGTTAAGCAGATATGTACAAGAACAATGTGGTTCATAACTTAAAATCTCCTATTTACACACAAATGATCTAACAAAACAAGTCTGTACATCAATCACTGTTCCTTCTCCCCCTTTTCTGAAACAGTACACCATTCGCAGCGTGTCCTGTTTCAGAAACATCTAAGAAAAGTTTTCCCGTATTCGGTTTTGGGTGATGTAAGATCCCTGCCCTATGTTCCTGTGACAGCCCTGCACCTGATGCAAACGTCCCAGAAACCCAACAGTGCACCTGGCAACCTGCAGTTCGTGCTCACCTTGAACCCTTTTTCAGACAGTCTCAACAACACAGACAATTGAAGTGTGTTTCTGTTTACTGTGTGACAAATGTAAAAAGCTAAACTCCTTTGATTGAATACTAACTATCTAATCATTAAGGATTAGATAGTTAGAAAATGCAGCATCCATCCTGAAACTGGAGCATCACACCATCATAAATCACATGTGAAACCGATACTTCATCCAGGCCGCAGATGTCGTAGTGACATTTGCTTGACCACTGCTCTAGGTTTTTTCCAGCCTGACTTTGGAGATACTGCCTATTCAGAGTTCAAGAGTTCATCATGATGTTAGTCCAGCGCCCCTACCTGGACAAAGTAAAGTTCCACAGAGACCTGCATTTTGTTTCAGTTCAGATATTTTTTTTCCTCCCAGGCCCTCATTGAGGTGGCAGCTTCTGTTTCTCCTCCCCTGTTTTTTTTACTTCTTCCTGCTCTGCTCTCTGTGTGTCTGAAGCGCCTGGGTCTCATCTCCCGAACATAAATTAAGAAGATTATGGATTTGGTATCATGGGCGTTCAACTCTATTGATAAGATTTTTTTCATCAAAACAAGGTCTTGGAGAAACGGCGTGTCCAGCTGAGATTCACGCTGTGGGGTATGTCATGGATTCGTGGGGAGTATGGCAGTTGATGTGCATCACAGTTTTGTCTCAGGAGGATGTTGAAGACGTTTACATATTTGGATTCATGATAGCAGGGACTCTGCTTTTTGGCATCGGCGGGGCTCTGTTTTATCGACTTTTGAAAAAGACATCGGCAGCAGTTTTGGCCATGGAAAAGCTTCCGAGTCAATGTGAAGGTCTGGTCCTCGCTGTGGGAACTTTAAATCGTCTGGTTTACGGGCTTGACCGTGGAGGCGATTGAGAATCGCAGACCACCTGCGGCTTCTGGGACTCGTCAGCGTGGTGGGTTCGACCTTGAAGAAGACTCATGGCATGGATCAGTGGAATGGAATCCCACAATTAGGCATTTTTGGAACCAGAACGCCCAGAATGACTCAAGGCTGAAGAAAAAAATCTGTCTGCCTAAAGAAAAAACAAAAATCAAGCTTATCTGAATCAGAATCCCGACGGCCTCGGAGACGGGCTGACTATCAAATTTCTCCTGGGACATGAGTACCCAAGGACGAAAGCTTCATCTATCGTACCACCCCACCCCCGCAAGAACTTTCTGTGCAAGCTTATCAGAACTGCTGGCTGGAACATCTTCAGAAACTGTGGCTGATCTGAAAAAACGCTCATGGACAAATCTCAACACCATGATGTCAAATGCAAATGTAATCATGTTTTAATTGTGCTTGCTGGTAGAGTTTTTTGATGTCTCAAATCGTGTCCTGATAGACAAGATGTGAAAGATCTTTTTTGTAATACCACTATCTACCCTCATGTTTCTCCCTCTTTTCCTATCTAAGATTATTATCTGATAAGGATGAGAAGGCCACGTTCTCCTGTAGTTACAGCTTTGTGCACTCTGCCCATCTTTCGGACGACTGTACATACATATTCGCGTTGTACCTCGGTGCAATTCCAATAAAGTTTATTCTGATTCTGATCATGATTCCAAACTTAGATCATTCTCTTGTTGTTTTGTAGCAGAACAGGATGTCTTTCAGCCCCACGTGCCACACTCATCTGGAGGTACAGTTCTTTTCAATCCGGTGGTCTCATGAAGTCACAATTGTTATAGCAGCCTAGTTTTATGCATCAACTATACACATGTGATATACTACTTTACAACCAGAACCAGATATCCAATATGTCAAACCACAATTGCTTTTGCTTCCTAGTATCCTATGTGAACCATTGTGTGCATTCTGTGTGTAGCCAGAACATCCCTCCCGATTCAAGAACTCACTCAGTTCAACTTTTTCTTAAAAGTAAAAAATTAAGATTAGCTTAAAAATAAAGCAATTCAATTCTGTTATTATTATTATTTCATTTATTTATTTATATAGCTCTAAACCACACAAAAAGTTGTCTCAGGGCACTTAACAGAAACCTTCACCTAAATAGCAAAACCAATTAGTAAATTTCTCCATCTAATAAAGTTCAAACTCAGTTCTCTGATAGCCATTTCTATTTCTGGAACGTCTGTCAGCCTCTGCCTCCAGCTGGGTCATCCTGCACTCCAGCCAGTACAAGGTTCTTAACTGCATCTCATACAGTGAAAGTAAAAACACAATGTTAACACTAAAATCAGAATCTAAGGCAAAACTCTCTACACCACACGTGTCAAACTCAAGGCCCACGAGAGCTTAAACGGTCTGATTGTCATATAAGAAGTGAAAAGGGCGCACTGACACAATCTACTAGTATATTTCCCATATTGCATGCCAAGCACAGTGCCAAGTATGCTAAAGTGAGACTTCAACTCTAATGTTGTTATCTTGAATTTATTAAATGTCTTATTATATTATGTTAAATTAGCAGCAATGTATTAGGGATTGCAGGTTTATGTGTTTATGAAAGTATTTTTTAATGTTAATTCCATCTCTCATTAGTTGGATGCAAGACCCTTGCAGGCTGTGTGCAGCCATTTGTTTTTTGCATAATGCTACACCTGTCCCATGTTTTTAGCAGCTCACAGTTGTTGGTTGGACCGTTCTGCCCCTCTTCACTATGTCAAAGTTTTGAACAAAGTTAATGTCATAAATTGTTATTTTCCTTATTCAATTACATTGAATCAGAAAGACTTGTGACCTGTCCAGGGTGTTCTCTCACATTGTGAGTACTGGATGTAGGCACCAGCTGCCCCGTGACCTGGAAAAAAAGTGGGTAAAAGAATTGGATGGATGGACAGATGACAGCTTCTGACATAGCGTACTTCTTGATGAACATTTTTGGAGAACAGCCATTTTCCCTCTGATCTATACTTTTTGTGATGTTAATCCAGGGGTCTGACTGTGTCTGATAATGTCACCTGTGTTCCCCTTACCTGATTGGTTGGGTTTATATCTGTTTCAGATTTGGAAGGGTCGAGGACCAAAAAGATGCACTGAGGCTTTACACGGTGCAGATCCCTCATAAACGAGACAGAAAGCCTCCTCCTTGTTACCTCACGAAGTGGGATGGTAAGAGCCTGCTGCCAATGCTGACCTCTTCCTGTGGAGCTGAAGTTCTCTCCGCTGTCGCTGTCAGGTAACATTCAGAACATCTGAATCTTAAAACGGGTTCATCTCAGGCTATTGTTGTGTAGGCAGAGAGCCAAGTTTATTTTTTTGGAAAGAATAAAAATGTAAATGTACCTTATTAAAAATAATAACTTTAGTATTTAAAAATTATATACAGTAGTCCAAAAAAGTTCAATCTGGTCCTCTGGACATTCAAAAAAACAAAAAACAAAACAGCAAAAAAATCTAGAAACGTTTCGTCTCTCATCCAAGAGACTTCCTCAGTCTGAGGTGCTGTTTTCAGCTCAGTCTCTTAAATAGCACCTTCTCAGAGTGGATCAACCAGTTTGCTGCTGACAACCAAAACCAGCTGATCACATGCTCAAGAAGGACCATCAGCCTAACAATGGATCATTAGCACACTGATGGCTGTTTAC